GGGCCCCCCCAGCCGCACCCTGCCCAGTCCTCAAGCGTGGGCCCTGCAGGCGTCCTGTCCAGGAGAGATTCTCTCAGCCGGGCGATGAAACCTCCTTCCCGGCTCTCGCTGCATCCAACCTGCCGGAAGAGAAACCATTGTCCCTAGAGCAGAGACGGACTCCTCCGAGAAAGTACTTCTGGCTACTGCCCCATAACAGGGCTCCTGGGATTGCTCTGTGTCCGTCCGTACAGCACCCGGCGCGACCGGCGCCCCGATCTCAGCATGGCGATGTGTCACCCAAACGCGCAGGGATGAGGATCTGGATGTAGCTGATGTCCAAGCACCCGGCGATGGAGGCTTCCCAGCCCTTACCTGGCCTCTACTGGGATTTCATCCTGTGTGCAGCCCGTTCACTGCCACCTCTGTGGATCAGCTAAGATGCCAGAGCCACATCTGTAAGGGCTGATTCTACACAAGAGCCAATTTCTGCCCAGCTACCCCGCTCTACAGAAAGGGAAGTCAAACAGAAGCCGTAACTCTGGTAAGAAAGATGGTTAGAAAACGGGGCGGATTTTCCATCGCAAATTACAACAGCGCCCAATGATTTTCCATTTTCAAGGGTCAAGTTTGACTTCAGTGTGAAAAAAAAAATCACCCAGGAAACTGTTGAAAATCATGAAAAAAGTGGTCAGATAATACAAGAAACTGAAAACCAAATAGGCTTAAAAAAAAAGGGGGGGGCAGTTTACCTGAAAACAGTTGATGAAATTTGGGCTATCAAAATTGGCCAATATAACAGCTGACAAAATTGAAACAAATGTTGACTGAAAAATTGGCAAGAAAGAACCAAAGGAGAAAGTAAAAGACTGAAACCGTCTGTGACGTAGTGGGGGCGTGTCTGTTCTATAACCCGGTGTGTTATGGGGGTGCCTTGCTGGTTGCTGGGCTTGGGCAGTGGGTGACCCCCACTGGTGGCTGTTTGTAGCACAGCCCAACAGGACAGTGGATGAGATCACTAGCCAAGGGGCTCCCAACCTGTCCGACAGGTCGCCTCCCAGGGAGAGAGACAAAGGGAGGAAGGTGGAGCCCAACCCCTGTCTGGGGGGCAGGGCTGGCGGAGAGTCAGTTTCTGTCTGGTATCATGGAGGAAGCAGCCTAAGCAAGGGGCTGGGATTTAGGGGCCCAGTCTCCCCCATCTCAAGGGGGGCTGAGGCATCCTAGGCCTGGCCCTGTGACCAGATCACATCTGTGCTGGGCTGTATCCTGGAGAAGCAATACACTCCCTCTAGTCTACTAGCTGGTGGAGTCTGTCCGTGCCATTACGGGGCTGCAGGAGGCGGGGGAACCCCGACGCGCCATCACACCGTCAACCAAGTTTGACCAACATTGGCAAGAAACAAAAATTGTCCCAACAACGAAGAGAAAAAAACAGCTGAAAATTAGTGGGGGGGGGGAGGAGAAGCTGTTTGAAAACTGGCAAACAAACCAAATAATTGGTCTGAACCCCCAGAACAATGGCTGAAAATTGAAACTAAATTTGACGGAAAATTGGGAAGAAAATGCCTGAATTTTTTTTTTGCCAGAACCTGCTGAAATGAACAGTAAAGGGGGGTGTGGGTGGAACTGGCTTGAAAAAGCAGGGGGGGGAAAGTGTGTGAGGGGGAAGGTCCCAGAATCTAGGTTTTGCCTGTAAAGTTGGGGAGCGCTCAGGGTAGGGGATCCCCAGCCACTTCCACAGCCCGGATCCGACCCCCTCCATAATCATTCAATCCCACTCCCCTCCCAGAGCTGGAGAAAGAACCCAGGAGTCCTAGTTCCTAGCCCTGCCCCCAGCCTGCTCTAACCACTAGACCTCACTTCCCTCCCAGCCCGATGAGAGAAATTGCTGGTGATGGACCAGACCTGAGCTAAGCTTAGGAATTCTTGAGTCTCAGGAGCAGGGGATAAGAGGAATGGGGGTGACCAGTGAGCCCCCAGGAAACACAGCTGCTTCTCCTAGAGAGGAGAGAGCATCCAGTCAGGATCTCCAGGGTCCCCAGTACCTCTGCAGCACCCCTTAAGCCCCACAGGGAGCCCAGCGCTCCTCTATGCAGCCCAGGTAGGGCAGAGGACTACAGCCTGGCTGTGTAGTGGGGACACTCGTCTGGGATTACAAAAAGTCAGTCTCAGAGCTGGGAACAGAGCCTATATAC